AATTAAATTAAAATAAAATTAGTTAAACTCTCAATTTGTACGTTGCATTTTTTTTAATGTTAATATCTTGAATTAATTTTTATTTTAATCAATATTTTTTATAATTTAAAATTCATAAAAAATCTTAAATTATTAACAAAATTATGATACAAATAAAGAGTTTGATTACAAAATTAAAGTGTAAATAAATGATTTAATTGCAAAATTTTAAAATGTTCATGAATTTTTAATAATAAAAGGTATTAATTAAAATAAAAATTAATTTAAAATATTGATCATAAAAAATATATATAATACAAATAAAAATATTAACTAATAAAATTTTAATAATTTTAACAAATTAATAATAACCATATCCATATCCTTCTAGCCATGAAAAAGATAAAAATGCACAGCTAAGGGTTGAAGAAGAATCTTTAAACGGGTTGAAGATTTGAGAGATGGCGATATTGGGTCAGAATAATAGAGTTGGCAACTGGCATGCTTTGACCGTTCCTGTGTAGGGGACCTCCATCTTTGAACCCTGCATGCCCATACTATTTTTGTCTTTTTTCTTTTTTTCTGAAAATTTAGTTTAATAATAAAAAATTAACTAGGAAGTACTTCTTTTCCTGTACCCGACGACAAGCACGGTTGTTTTCCTTTTTTCTTTTTGAAAAAGACAATTGTTAGAGATATTAATGTATTAAAAGTGTTAATATATAAAAAAAATATTGAACTCAAAACATAAAATACAAACAATAATATGCTAAAAATGACAACAAGTAGTCCGTTGCGCCACGCACATAAAATGCGACAAGCACGGTTGTCGGTTAGGCATATTTAGCTTATGATTTGATTTGACTAGTGCTGGTTTAGACATCTACCAAACCATTGAGGAAAATAGAAAAACCTTTTTTTCTTTTTTTTTTGGTGAATGAAAGAGAGTAAGGAAGTTTGGTAGAGTGGTGAAATGAGAGAAACCAAAGGGCACCAGAAAACCGAGTAACCGACGCACTGCTATGGATTTTTCGCCTTTACACGCTGATTACGGTCTATGGACTGGCAAAGGGCCACAAACCACCGTAAGGCCATGTGCATTGTGCATATATGAGTTTAATGCCTAGGACCATTTTGATCTTACTCCTGTACTACCCCTGCCCCCACACCTCAACCTCATCGTGATTTATGTA